TTTATTGGTATCATTTGTCATTATATTCCATATATTTTATAACTCATGCATAAATGTTCATTTGAGGAGTCTTTTTATCCTTTTATGTTGTAATTTTCTTTTAAACATTTAATATGGAATCACTGAAAACACTAACTTTTGTGCTGATGGTAAGAACTAGAGTTATCTTTAATTTTCAGTTTCTTCCCTGTAGAGGGCGCTGCAACACAGTTAAGTGATACAGTCACTTTACAAGCTGATAATTCTGTCACTTCTGAGTTTATATTAACACTTTAAACCTTGCTGTAAAATGATCTGACAGACATTAATAACTTTTTATCACCTGATCCCTTTTAATATCTTCCCTGTAACTTGCACCAGTAAATTCTGCTTCTGCAAACTTCTTGATTTTCAAAATAAAAGAGCATTTCTGCAAATGAAATTTCTCAAAGTTTAAAGAGTGTTTTAGTGCACAAGTTAAAATATATGAATAAAACAAAATACAAATAAAACAGAATACTTTAGTGAACAGATTAATTTACTGTGTATATACAATAATAATGTAGGAAATGTATGAGCTTAAATTAATATACACATTGTCAAGCAGTTCTAGTTGATGTTGCTGATTTGTTTGTATGCCCACATTATCATAAATGTAGAGTTTCTTCTATAGCAGCTACTTTTAGTCTTAATGTGTTTTGGGAAATAGGAGACATGCAGAGATTTCATTTCTTGTCCATCTCACATGAGTTTCTGAGGATTTGCTCACATTAATCCAGTACAGTCACATTCAGAGCAGCACAGGTTGTTGGGGATCTTGGAGGGAGTTGCTATCATACAGGTCTTCTTCTTTCCTGCGAACAAAACTGAACACAAGTTATTGGTAAAATACATCCAAGTGGAACTCAAAACAAACTTTTATTTCAGTTAGAAAAAACTTTTCATGTTCAAACCACTGAGCCAGTTTATTTTTGGATGAGTTTTGCATTATTTTACACTCTGCTTGTGTGTTTATTTGAGTTATTATTAGTTAATTTAATTAAGCACTGTAAAATGATTCAGGTGCTTCTGTATTCAGTATGTAAGATATACTTACCACAAGGAGTTTTCTCATAGTACCATTTCTGGTCTTGTTCCTCTCTGTGTCAAACACACATCACCATCAGATTAAACAACGTACACATTAAATAAATCCAAATTGAAGGCAGAATGTGTTTTTCTTACCCTTTTAGATTTGCAGTACAGTATAAGTCCTGTTAGCAATACAACCACAATGACTCCAACCACCACAGCTACAATAATGCCTGTAACACCAGTCCGACTCACTGAAACAGAGAGAGACAGTTCAGTTAAATGAACGAACCAACTCAGACCACAAGATACTGACTGATAACTACTGTAGCATTGTTCACGTGTCCATCTCTCAGAATCTACAGTTTCCTCACCCTCAGCTGTGAGATCTTCCTGATGTTAAGCAATCCTACATTCAACTACTTCAACTTTGCAGCCAACCACCTATTAACACTCCAGCAAACATCCAAACACCCATGCAACCCTCAGGCAATGCCTTAACAGAGACCTCCGGCACTCTAGCAACCACCTACTTACATCTACTTGAATAGTGTGAGGGCCCTCTGTGTGCTTTGTACTGCTTGTGGAGGTGACTGTGGTTTACACTCAGCTGCAGGAGAGAGAGAGGTGTGGGCACGGCTTGTGAGAACAGCGCCAGGTGAGTTGACAGTTGATACAGTCCTTCAGCAGCTCTCCTCTCCCTCCACACACCTTTTGTTTGGCATCTTTTGTTTCCTTTTCTTTGGTTTTGAAACATCCACTCCCCGCACTACTGGCCTTACAGAGTCATCTCACCTATGTATTTGGATTGTTTTGTTGTAAAGAAAATGACTCATTTTGCCCCAGTCTAAGAGCGGGAACTGGTTGAAACTGTGCCCAAATATCAAACCTGAGATATGCTGATAGTTTGAATGGCAGCTTTCGCTCAGACAGACTTGCTCTTACCTTTCTCTATTCTCAGAAAGGTGTTGGTTATGTATGTCTCCTCAGGATTACTGAGTTCACAGGTGTACATCCCCTCCTGTTTCCAAGATAAGTCCTGTAGCATGAGGCCGCCTGACTCAGAGAGGCCCTTCACCTGCTGCCTCCACTCCTCTGAGACTGAGTGGCTGACGTTGGCTCTGGCCTGGTTCAGAATGATCTGACTGTAGTTGAATCTCCAAACGAGGCTGAAGACCATCAGGGAGGTGTTTGACACACTGCAGGGGATTGTTGTGTCAGTGCTGGAGGCAATGATAGGAGCTGAAATGATGCAACACAAACAGAAAAAGATCAAAACGCCTGTGAATCCGAATTATTTCCACAGATATAGAAACACATACTGTCGGATAAGAGCTGATTTGACATATTTGTTTGCTAAACAACTGAGAATTATTAACTGCCAGGTTTGTTAGTTTGCAGTTTATCTGAAAACTCAGTGAACAAATGTCCATGTTACTCAATGAGCAAGTGATTCGTTGTTAGTGTTTGAAAAGAAATGTTATTTAAGTTGCCATTTTTTATCATTTTTTGCTATTTTCTCATAAATGTCTTGTTATAACTGACCCAGGAAATAGGACTCAATAGCACGACTCGATCAGATCAGGCAAACAAACCCTAAAAAGGCGAAGGCAGAGTCCAAAGGCATGCAAAAATAAAAAACAAAGGCACATAATCAACACACAAAGGCAGGAAGTGAATGGATTTGAAACGAGAGGTAAGTACAAAATAAAACAGGAAGTGAAAACATGAAATGATGAATAAAGAAAACAGATTTATTGTGACTGACAGACTGTAATATAACCTTAATTTCTAACCTTTTTCTACCTTTTAGTGTTTTGTAGCTACAAACAGAGAGGAATCTTTCAAACAGGCACCAAATTAGACCAAATTAGACCAGAATACTCACGTGGGTGCCTCAAAGTGGCTCTCCTCTTGTTCCTGCGAGTGCTGATGTTGCAGCTGTAGGCCACATCAGTCCCACTGTCTGAAAGTATCAGAGAGCCGCTGATGTTGTAGAGCTGCTGTTCAGTCTCCTGGACTGTGGTTGTGTTCTTGAAGGTCACGCTGGACGGAGGGCTGGTCGACCACGTGAGCTCAGGCTCAGGGTAGATCCCCTCTGAGCTGCAGGTGATCCTGTTTTCAACCTTCTGAATGTCGACTTCAGCGACCGGAGCTGTAAAGATCATTTTTAAGGTTT